AAATACAGAGGAAAAGATACAGGAAGTAGAATTAATATGATTTGGTGACAGATTGGATGTCGAAGGTGAAAGGGAATGAGTGGTCTGTCCCTATCTTTTGGGCTTGGGGACTGGTTGAATAGCAGTATCAGCAAATAGAATTAGGAATTCAAGAATGGGAATAGGTTTGAGAATGTGGTATAAGGGTGATAAATTCTATGAAGAACAAGTGTGTTGATGATCCATGTGATATTCAGGTACAAATATCTCAAAAGCAGTCAGAAATTCCAGTGGAGATCTCAGGAGAAACGTTCACACTAGCCCATGCATTCAGAGACATCTATGTATAGCTGACAATAGAAGCAAAGAAGCCATCCAGGAAAAATGCAGAGAGTACAAAGAGAATAAGGCCAAAGTCATTACCTTGGGAAACAACAACTTTTAGGATAAGAGGAAAGAAGGTGACTGAGAAAGAGTGATCAGACAGGTGGGAGAAGAATGCAGAGAACAGAAACCAAGGAAAACTTTGAATAAGTACAGAGCTCTTGATTATGAAATGGAGCTGGAATTTTTATGCAACACATTCTTATAAGCACTGTCTGGATTTGATCTGCAAGAAGTCATATGTGACCTCAGAGACAGTCCTGGTCAGTCAGTGGTCAGGGTGACAGCAGAGTGCTGCAGGCTGAACAGTGAACAGGAGCTTGAGGAGTAGTTTGTGGTGGTGTCTACATGTTCACACTTCTTTGGAGAAGCTAAGGAGAAAAAGAGTGCAAATACTTTTGGGTTTGATGGGAGAGGCTAATCCCAAGAGAAGCTGTTGGTTAATAATAAAAAAAAATCTGAAAATATGTCCTCTAGAAGACTAACCCCACTGGAAACCCAAATGTGACCTCTAGCTCTCGTCTTTTCCTGTTCCTTCTTGACTCCTAGTCAGCAAAATCCATCTTTGAGCGGTGTCAATTAGAAGCCAAACACTAAACAAGTGGACAATTTTCCACCCCTTGGTGATTATTATCCAAAGTCTATACTTTATTCAGATTTCCTTAGTTTTTACCTTAATGTCCTTTTTCTGCCCCAGGATCCCATCCAGGATACCATTTTACATTTATCTGTTATATCCCCTTAGGTTCCCCTTGGCTCTGACAGCTTCTCAGACTTCCTTCGTTTGCAAAGACCTGTGAGCAGCAGAGGTGTGATGGGTCACAGTTGTGAGTCGTACTTGTTAGTTATTTTTAGAATGTCACTCAATTTGGTTTTGTCTGATATTTTTTTTCATGACTAGACTGACGTTATGTGTTTGGGGAGGATTTATGAAATTTGTAATAGAAAATCTAGTGGCTATAAGGACAAGATGGACCTCAAATAAAATTGAAAAGTGCTTTTCCATTTCCCCAATACAGGCACACATGTTTCCGCCCAAGTCCCCAGACTCAACACTCACTGGGATCTCTCATCCACTTCTTCGAGCCTTTCAGGTTCTTCCTGAAGGGAAGTTTCCTCTTCCTCTTTCTCGCTGTCTGTTCACTTCGCCATCCTAGCCCGTGCCTCCCTCACTCCCCAAAGATATTGCACATGCTATCATCTGTCCGGAAATTTCTCCACACTTCCCAAAGCCCTTAATACCCACCCCCACCCCATTCCACACCCCATCCACCTAATACCTCCCATTGGTACTTCCGGGTCTCAGGCAACTTCCTCAGCAAGATCATCTGCCTACCTTGGCCATGCCCTGCCTCTCAGAAAGTTAAATTCTTTCACTCTGAGAACAGCCTGAACTGTTCTCTCCCAGCATGTGTCTCTGATTGTAGCCAGGAATTCATGTGCTTCTGTGATAAATGCCCACTTCCTCCTATTATCTATAAGTTACATGAAGGCAGAAAATAATTCTGTGTTTTCTCACCCAATATTGTCAGTGCCTGGCACGAGGCCTGAAGGCCAGTAGATACAGAAGAAGTCTCCAGACCAACATCCTCTCAATATCTTAAGCCATTTCAAACACCGTTAGTTACCTAACAGGGTTCATAGAAACAAAAATATATTAAAGATGCCTATTGTGATAATAACATTTTCTGATTATCAGAAGCCATTTGATACAACTCTCAACTCTGCCTATAACCAATAACTTCCAAAGTGATGTTTCATTAGAAATCATAAACTTGCACTCATGCACACATACACATGTGTGGGGGTGGATCAGGGTATCCCTGAGGAAGATGATAGCAGCAGGAACCAGCATTAAAGCTTCTTTTAAAATCAAGAAAGATATAAGTAAACAAATAGTAGGAACTGGAATTCAGTTTTAATATTAAAATGTTAACAACCACAGAAGGGAAGTCCATTCACTAGTCATAAAGTAGCAGCTTAAATCATTTCAGGTGTATTGTGAAAAATCTAGTAGGCAAGTCTTATATACATTTTTTTTAAGTCCTATTTTCTCTCCCTTTTAACCTCCCAACTCCAGCAGAATGGTTCTCAAATAGGTAAACTGACATCATTTTATCCTTCATTTCTCGGTCAACAAACATTTGTTGAAAGCTTGTTAGGTCCTGCTCACTGTACTAGCACCAAAGAGACAGATGAATACAGACACCCCATTCCTGCTTTCATGGAACTTACACTTTGGAGGAGAAGACAGACGAAGAGAAAATAAATACGTAAATATACACCATTAAAATTTCAAATTGGAAAGGCCTCTTTAAGCTGGAAGTGATCTTCAATAATGCGAAAAATCCAGCCTTGAAATAGCCTAAGGGAAACATATTCCAGGGGCCAGAATAGCAAGAACACGAGGCCCTAAGCCTGCACCAAGTGAAACTTGTTCAAGAAATAAACCAAAAGCCAGTGTACCTGGAGCATCCTGAGTGGAGGGAAGAATTATAGGAGATAAAGTTAAGAGGAAGTCAGGGCCCAGATCTTGCAGTGATTTTCAGGCAGCAAAAAGTAAATCAGATTTTTATTCTAAGCGAAGCAAGAAGCTATTAGAAATTTTTAAGCAAAAAAGTGGAACCAACCACAATCACCAAACTATGGAAAGAGCCCAGATGTCCATCGACAGATGGATGGATAAAGATGTGGTATACATATACAATGGAATATTACACAGCCATCAAAGAATTGAAATCTTGCCATTTGCAAGGTTGTAGATGGAACTAGAGGGTATTATGCTGAGCAAAATAAGTCAATCAGAGAAAGACAAGTATCATATGATCTCACTGATATGTGGAATTTAAGAAACAAGGCAGAGGATCATAGGGGAAGAGAGAAAAAAATAAAACAAGATGAAACCAGAGAGGGAGACAAACCGTAAGAGACTCTTAATCTTAGGAAACATACTGAGGATTGCTGGAGGGGAGGTGGGGGGGATGGGGTAACTGGGTGATGGACATTGGGGAGGGTATGTGTTGTAATGAGCATTGGGTATTATATAAGACTGATGAATCACAGTGATGAATCACAGACCAGTACCCCTGAAACTAATAATACATGATACATTAACTGAATTTAAATTAAAAAAGTTTAAAAGTTAAAAATAAAAAAAAAACTGGAACCAAGCTATGATTTGCATTTTTTAAATATTATTCTAGTCCAATGTGGTGAGTGGATTATAAGAGTAAAATTAGCATCAGAGAGGATAATTCGGAAACTATTGCAGTAATCCAAACAAGAGGTGAGGATCACATGAACTGGGATTCTAATAATGGAAACAAAGAGAAACTGATAAATCCGAGGTATCACTGGGACAGTCAGCTGGGGGGACATGGTGATGCCCAGATGTGGAAGATGAGGAAGGCAGGAATGAGTGCATGACACCTACTGGGCTTCCAGTGGCTTGAAGGTGACACTGTTCACCAAGGAGAGGCAACAGCCAGAAGCACAGCGAGGAGAAGGAATCAAGTGTTCCATGTTAAGCATGTTAAGTTTGGAATGCCTAATCAAGTGATAGGTTACAGACAAGGAACCCAAAGCCAATGTTTAAGTAACTTGCCCAGGATCACACACAGCTGGTCCATGTCCTAGTATTTGAAGCTCAGTCCTTCTTATTTCACAGTGAGTGCAGATTTGGAGGGGACCTCCAAAATTGTGTTATTCGTCTTGTACCCACAACACAGACTCAGCCTACTGACAAGCCAAACACAGAGTCAATCTTCTCTGCATCATTCCGGATATTTGCTGAGTGGTATTCCAGCCAGTAAACACAGAAATAATAAAAGCATTATCATAGGAAGTTCTTTCTCAAATCTGCTTAATGTTAAAAATCACTTAGCACTTTGCATGTTCATGACTGACTCAGGCAAGTGAAATTTGATTGCAAGAATTTGAAGATCTTCAGAGAGAAATTCACTAACAAGGATAAATGGTCTAAATATAACTTTTATTGGATCCTGGAACAGGAAAACAACATTAATGGAAAAACTGTTGAAACCCAAAAGAGTCTGTAATTTAGTTAATAGTACTGTACCAATATTTATTTCTTAGTTCTGACAAATGGAGCATAGTTTTGTGAGATGTTATGTGAGGGAAAGAAGGCTGAAGGGCATACAGGCACTCTCCGCAATATCTTTGCAACTTTTGTGCAAATCAAAAATCATTCCAAAGTAAAAGATTAAAACAGACAAAAGGAGATTGATATGCCTCGTGGAACCTAAGTGTTTGGAATGCCACACAAGGTACTAGAATCATAAAAGAAGAATTAAATAGTGCTGATGATCATAAGCAAAATGTTCAACTTCACTAGCGGTTGAAGAAACACAAATCAACGAGACATAATGCGCTTCCACTGAAATCAGCCAATTTATAATGACAACCAATGTTGAATGGATTTGGGGAAAATTACCCCTTTATATACTGTGAGGAATATTCATCATATCAGGATCTTTATATTAGAGCTAACAAGAAACTTACCTCATACTGAGATAGGAGAGAATTTGTCAGCTCAGGTAGCTGAAAAGTTTCACGGTAGACCATTCAAGTAAGAACTAGACCCAGTGTACAAAAATCCAGATTCTTTCTGCCTTGTCTTTGCTTTCTGTGCTGTTAGCTTTACCTTAAAGCTGACTCCCCATACACACAATTTCCATAGCTGTATTCTTCCTCCTTTCCATCATGGAGCCAAGAAATGATTTTCCCAAGAGTCCTGAAAATGTAAATATTTCTCAACTCAATGGCCTGAATTAAGTTATGTGTCCATTCCTAAATCATTCACTCTGGCCCAGAAGAAGTGCTCCCCAGATGGGGCCAACCCCTCCAAAACCTTCTGGATGAGAATATCAGAGGGAAGGTCCATCAAAGGAAACAGAAAATACTATTTCCATGAAGAAGGGGTATGAGTCAATTTTTATAGAAGCCTTTCTAAAATAGAGAATTTCAGGGCACCTGGGTGGCTCAGTCATTGGGTGTCTGCCTTCAGCTCCGGTCATGATCCAGGAGTCCCAGGATGGAGTCCTGAGTCAGGCTCCCTGCTCAGCAGGGAATCTGCCTCTCCCTCTGAACCTCCCCCTGCTCATGGTCTCTCTCTCAAATAAATAAATAAAATCTTTTAAAAAAATAGAAAAAATAAAGTAGAGAACTTCAAATAATTCTGTTTTTAAAATTTATTTCAAATAATCAAAGTTGTACAAGAAAAGGAGTCATGAAGAAAAAGTGTTCTGGCAATTTTATGCATCAAAAATTTGAAAAAATCTAAATTCCCAGCAATAGTATGCTTGCTACTTAAGTTACAATGCACTGTCATGCAGCCATTAAATATGATATTTTCAAAGAATATTTACTGACACATAAATAAAAGTCATATTGTACTAGTGAATTCAACAAATAATTGTTGTTGTTGTTGTTTTGTAAAGATTTTATTTATTCATTTGTCAGAGAGAGAGAGCACAAGCCGGGAAAGTGGCAGGTAGAGGCAGAGGGAGAAGCAAGCTCCCCACTGAGCAATGAACCTGATGCGGGACTCAGTCCCAGGACCCTGGAATCATGACCTGAGCCAAAGGCAGATGCTTAACTGACTGAGCCACCCAGGTGTCCCAACAAGTAATTGCTGATGGCTACTATGTGTCAGGCACTGGGATATGTCGGTGAGCAAAACAGACAAAGATACCTGATCTCCTGGAATTCAGCGAAAAAATATTACAAAAAGAATATGAGTCAATTTTTTAAACAGCAACATTCTCAAATGCATGCACACACAAATATCTGCAAAGTACCAATGTTTTCATATGCTTACACACACAAATGTCTGCAAAGGGATACATCAATATGTTAATAGAAGTTTTCTCTAGTTGGTGATTTAAATGGGATATTTTTATATCCTTCAGTTGTCTACCATAAACAAATTATTTATCATAAATATGTGCTTCCTGTTAAACCAGAAAAGAAGTAACGTATTTGCTATTTTTTAAAAGAGTGGATACTGGCTTCTGTTGATATCTTGGCATTTGCGAAACATTTTCTGAATGTTTAATTCATTTCCTTTCACTCTTACGTAGTTGGGGGTTGGGTAATGAGAAAGGAAGAAAAAGGAGAATGTTGAACTTATTTTTCTACACTGAGATCTAATTCTGTCTAATTTGCTTAAATCTAACCCTTCTTATATCAAATCTCACTTATTTTAGTAAATGTTGATACTGAATTTATATTTCCCAAGATAGAATTGCTATTTTTAGGTTTGTGAAAAATCAAGATTGGATATAAGGAGTGGACATTACCTATTTTTATTATCTAAGATATGATTACAGAGAGAATTATTATTTCACATTTCAGAATTCCCACAGCATGACTTTTGTCATGTGTTAAAAATAACTCTAATACTGTCCAAGACATTCTGTGTTAACCTTGGTGTGTGAATCCCAAAACCATTCCCAGAACAGAGATGTTTTTAAAGAAATTTCCCATGAGAAAACATAGCATCCGACTTGATACGAAAAAAATAAAATGTCCACTCAACCAACTTTTCTGTTTTAACTACCTGCTACCATATCATCAGTGGTAACAACTAAAGGTAAGTAGTTTGAGGAAGTTTGTTCTATTGAATTAATTCCTAAACACAGTTCCTATGACATATGAAACTGAACGTACTCAACATTGACCTTTCAGGTCAATGAGAGTTGAGCAGTTGGTCAAACAAACTCTAAAGCTTCCTTGGAATTTGTTGAGTGAGTTATGAGTGAATTCAAATTGATTCTCAGGAGTGTCATAATTAAGTTACTATTTGTTCACATATTGAACAAAAATCTCTGAAATCCCTGTATAATCAGGAAAGTTTAAAAAAGTCTCATGCATGTGAGGTATTCTCTGAACATGCTGACATCCTGGTCTGAGGAAGAAACAACTCCTTCCTAATTCCCAGAACGGTCTTTGCAAAACTGACCTAAGATTTATCCCAGAAAGAAACAAGAACAATTTGCTCATTAGATCTTTGATACTTGTCCTTTCATTATTTTTTTGAATACCATTTAAAGAATCTTGATTCATCAGAAGTACTGTATCAGGTATGTCAATTATTTTCATGAATAGGACCCCCAATGAAGTTATACAAGTATCAGATAACTCTCATTTCAAAATGTCTTTGTAGATCTTTGGTAATAACAGATTTTTGATATATAACATATCCAATAATCATTTAGTATGGGTGACTGCTCAAAATACATGGACCGAAACCACCACTTTCCAGAAAGTTGAAGCATTCATTTATAACAGACCAAGGAAGTCTGATTTTTCCATAAAAGAAGTAACCTCTTCTGGAGCAAGGGATTATTAAGAGACAGAGGCCAATGACAGGCCAGTATCTGTTTGACAGCTGATATTTTCTGGAAAGAAAAGAAAGAAAGAAACAGAAAGAGAGAAAAAAGGAGGGAGGGAGGAGAAGGAAAGGAAGGGAAGGGAAGAGAGAAGAGAAGAGAAGAGGAGAGAAAGGAAAAGAAAAGAAAAGGAAAAAGAGACAAGAAAAGAGAAAAGAAAGAAGAAAAGAAAAGGAAAGAAAAAAGAAAAGAAAAGGAAAAGAAGAGAAAAAAGAGAAAAGGAAAGAAAAGAGGAAAGGAAAAAAAAGAAAAGGAAAGGAGAGGGAGGGAGGGAGAGGGGGATGGATTAGAAATGATATCAGGTATTAACAGATTAAAATTATTCCTAGCCAGTTTAATATCTTATAAATTGTATTAATACATTTTATGACTTTCTCAAAGATTTTAAACTCTTAATAAGCTGTAATCTCAAATGAGATTTGGAGAACAAATTTAAAGATTCTTATCACTTTCCAAAATCAAAGTCCATAGAACAAGAGCAGTGAAAAAGTCTCAAATATAGTTTTTAAACTCTTCTGCAAAATATCCTAACAATACTGCTCAACTGTTTCATCTACAGGTAAACATAGAAATACACAGTTGACATTCATGGCTCAGGTATTAAGAAATTCATTCAGCAGAAAACCATAAGGAGCTTCTAGTGCCTAATACAAATCACAGTACACAAATGGGAATTAAAACTGAAAAAAAAAAAAGTCTACTCTGGCTGTAAGTAAATCACAAATTCTCCTTTTACTCCTGTAACAGAATATGCTATTTGACAACAAAATGTACAACTGTTTGGCTTTGAGATCAAGAAATAAACTAATTAAAATAATAATATTAGGTAAGTAATTGCTAAGTACCCACCAGAATGAGTACTGTTCCTGTCACTGCAAAGGGCAAATTAAACCATCTTGGCCTTGATCTTCAGGAAATCACACTCTGGGGCAGTTCAAGTTAATCTGCATTTAGCACCTAGAATTATCAAATTCTGCTACTTATAGTCCTCTACCCAAAAATATATTTAATATAACACTAGTAAACCTTGAATTTCAGGATCTTTCCTGTGCAGGGGCCTCTTTCAAGGCCCCTGCGGGGACTCTAGTAATGTATTTACATGGTATATGTTTTTGATAATTTAACTGCAACCAGTTAAGACCCCTGTTTCATTCCATACAGACTCCTTTCCATCATATTTCTCTTCACAGTAGGTAGGGTTGGAGCGGCTGTGGCATTTTGTGGATCTGGCTAGAAGGATTTGCCCTTGGGGATACCTTTAGTTTTGGTTTGGTGGGCTATAATCATATAGTTTGCAGTTACTCTCATGTAGAGTTAAATACTTGCTAACTATCTCAGTATACAAATGATGTGTCCAAGAACTACCCTACTGCTCCAACTCACCCAACACCAAGGCATAAAGACCAAGACACAAAAGTAATGATACAAAATGCCCTGGGAGTTTGTGAGTAAGGAAAAACAGAATTATTCAGTTTACCTGTGATCTGATAAATGGATTTCAGATAAATTCATGCACATCATCTAATCTAATGAAATGGCCACGTGGTTTTAAATTATTCTTGGAAAAATCTTCAAAAGATATAACCTTAATAATGCAAACCTAAGAAAACAATAGCAAAGCTTACTGTTCTGCTCCTAGTATGAACTCACAGTCAGCCACATTAAAAGGTAAAATAATGATGATCTAATGATATGTGCCAGGAAGCTGTCCATCGTAAGTTACTTTTACTACACAAGAGGATATTGAAATGTGGGTTTACAAACTTGTCTTTGAGGGTATGTTATGCCTTCAGATATTAACTAACACTAACTAGTAAGGAGGCATTCTTCACAACAAGCAAAATATTTAAAAGTAAATGTGCAGAATAAGAAGATACAACTCTACTTCCAACAGCATGAATATTTTGTGACATTAGTAAATTTTAAAATATTTTAGATATATTATCTTAATATATTACATTATATATTTATAAAGCACACAGTATGTTAATATTTGTAGCTAACATTTACATTATACCAGGCACTGTTCTAAGCACTTTACATATATAAATTAATTCTCAAAGCAAACCTATGGAGTAGTACTATTATCTCATTTTACATGAGAGGAAACTGAGTAAATTGCCTTGCCGAACATCACCTAGCTAGTAGAAGATGGACTTGAAATTTGAACACAACTCCTTTCATTACTGGTATTCCCCTCCCCCTTTCCTATCTACCCTCTCTTTCCATAGCACTTCTCACTTTCCAACGTAAGAAACAAAAATAATAAAGATAAGTCATGAAATCAGTAGAAAGTATTCTGATATTGAAAAGGATAGATTTTTTTAATGAGTCAAATATA